CGCCATTTTCAGCAGAGGTTCTGCCCCCATTCCTGACCCAGCTTTCCTTGCTGGAGGCTTCCTTTCCCACCCTCCCCTTCTCCGCCACCCCTCCCTGCCCAGCCCTGCATCCCCGGGCGGGTACCAGAGCTCCACTGCTGAGCAGGATCATGAAGATGATGAAGGTCTCGAACCAGCTGTGCTCCACGATGTGGTAGCAGGTCTTGCGCAGTCGCCACCAGACCTTCCCTGGGGCCTGCGTGGTGTCCACAGTGCAGCAGGGACAGCGCCGGACACAGCCTGTGGGGGAGGGAGAGGGGTCAGGGCCAGGCCAGGGGCGGTGGATGCCCATGTCCGATGGCAGGAAGTTTGGTGGTTGAAGGAATGACCGGGAGACAGATTACCATGGTGGGTGATGAGCGGGGCTCCATGGTGGGCGGGGCCATGGGGGCAGGGAGGGCTGTGGGTGCTGTCTGCTCCGCCCACACTCAGCAGGCACCCTGTGCAAAGGCCACATGGACCAGGCACCCAGGGAGTGGAGGAAGGGCCCGGCTGGGGCTGGGTGGGCTCCATCTTGTCCTCTGTTCATCTGGGAAACCCTCCCCCTGCCAGAATGTTCCAGAACTCCCTGAGCTGCTCTGTCCTTGGGCCTGCTCCATGTTTGCAATTTCTGAGCCTTGGGAAGGATGGGCCCTTTACTGGCAGCCCCAAAGGATGTGCCACGTGGAAGACAATCCCTCATTGTATCCCCAGCTGCCCTCCAAATACACCACCAATTCACTATAAAAGCTGCAGATGCCGGTCACCGTGCCAAGGCCTGAGTGGGCAGCGGTGAATGAGACCCAGGCCCTGCCGCTGTGGGAGCGGGCAGTCATGCTACCGCCCCACAGAGGCAGTGGCACCAGTCCCTGTGCAGCTGACCCACAGCTGCCCAGCCCAGCAGACTGCTGGCAGACTCGCCATGACTCAGTTATGATGGAGGAGCTCCCAGGGCCCTGATGAATGGGGGAGGGAGGGGAGCCAGCCGGACCAGGGTGGGGTGTAATATGGACCCGGCCTCCAAGAGCTGCTGGTCCTCCCTGCCCCTCCAGGCAGGGCTGAGGCTGGGGCAAAGGGCCACAGGGGAAGGACCTTCGGTGAAGCAGTCCTCCGGGTCCTTGACGTCCTCGCCGAGGTCAGGGGTCTGCTCCAGGAGGTCAGCGGTGATGGTCATGTCTGCTGTGCTCCCCTCGGAGTAACTGTCCTCGTGGGTCTGTGGGCAGGAGCGAGGGGAGGGTGGGCGAGGACATGAGTGTGGGCCATGGAGCAGCCTCCAGCCTCCAGCCCCGAGCCTGGGGAGTCTGGGGCTCCTGGAGGGGAGGTACCCCCACTATTATCCATTCATCTCCCGGGGAACCTGAGCCCTGGATGAAGGAGAACTGGCCCCAGAGGTCACCTAGGGCCAGTCAGGGCTGAGCTGAGGCTGGACCTCGGGCTTCCGGGTCTGTGGTTCTGGTCGGCTGGGGTCTAGGGCAGGGGTGTGGGGGAAATATGGGGCTAAAGCATCAGTCCAGCCGGGAACAAAACAGACATCGGGTGGCAACACAGAAACATACTGGCACAGGGGCACACGGCACAGAGGGGTAGCTTGGCACACGCAGAGGAAACAGGCATGCCACACCCAGAACAGAGTCAGAACCAGCATCCTGGCACACGTAAGCACCAGGCCAGACATGCAGAGAACAGGCCGGCAACCCACCCCTGCGTCCCCCCATTCGTGTGGGTGCTGGCGTGAGGCGCAGAGTCTGCAGTAAGAGCGGGAAGGGGCTGGGCCGTTCCCGGCCTGGCAGGCAGGGCTCTGCTGCCTCGACTGCATGTAACCTGATTACAGAGAGGGGTGCGCACGCGGTGTGCCCTGTGCGTGCCTGCGTGTGTCACGTGTGAGTGCTGGCTGTGGGGCCCATGGCACTCTGCCCGGTTCCCCTCCTTCAGGCCAGTGCACCCATCCCAGCCCCTGTGAGCACTGGCTGCCGCCTGGCTCCACCTCCAGAAAACTGTCTTTAGCCTGGGAGCTGCCGTCTCTGGAAATTGCTTGGGGGCTGCCATGAAAGCCAGCGTGAGGGACTGATATGGAGGGAACCGAGCTGAGGCCAGAATCCAGCGACCACGCCCCACCACGCCTCCGCCTCATCCTGCGTCTCTTCCTGTGGGTGTCCCCGGAGAGCGCTCCCTCCATAGGTCCTTGGGGCTGGAAGCCCGCGGCAGGCTCTGCCTCCAGGAGCCCACCCTACGGACAGGAGGCCGGGCAGGGCTTGTGGGAAGGAAGGGAGCCTTCACTGGCTTCAGCTCACGTCTCCATCCTCAGCTCAGTGGCCGCCTCGTTGCGCAGGCTCGGGCCCCACGTAGAGATGTGCCGGTCTGAGATCTGGCGCCCCTGCTCCTCCCACTGCCTTCCCGTCTCTTCCTTCCGGACGAACCCCACTGGTGTCTCCAAGTCCTCAGCCTCAGCATTTAGCTTTAACCTTTAGACTGCGATGGGGAAGCGCTGGAGGGAACGGAGAGCGCCCTCCGCTGGGCAGGGTGGAGCCATGGTGCAGGGTGGAGCCATGGTGCAGGGTGGAGCCATGCCCCAGGGCGAGGCGCTGGCTTCGTGGTCCCTGCTGCCAGGAGGGTCATCCCTTTCCTCCCAGCTCTGCTTTGGACACGAGCTGGGACAGGCACAGCCGGAGGTCTTCACCCTGCTCTTCCTCGCACACACGGGAGCTGCCCCCAGGATGCGGGCTTGTCACCAGGGAGGCCGAGTTCTCAAGATCCAGTGAGGTGACGGGGTCCTTCTCCCAGGAAAGCCCCTGCCCACCCACCCTCCCCTTTATGGGGTCCAATATGACCTGATTTGGAGAGAGAGGAAGAAGCCACAAAACCCGTTCCAGTAGAAAGCCCTACTCTCCATGACTTTCGGTCCCTCGTGTCTTCCTGTTCTCAGGTGCCTTCTGCTGCTGTCAGGGTGATGGCCCCACCAGCCCCTCTCGCTCCCAAACTGGCCTTGATGGCAGAGCTTCCCATAGGCCCTGCCCATGCCATGGACAAGGCAAAGGAGAAATGTCCCCTTGGAGCAGGTCTCAACTGCTGGCCTGAGGCCTGAGGTCAGGCTGCAGGACAATGCCCCCCCCCACCCCACCCCCGGCAGGGTCTCGCAACACGTGACCTCCACCTTCCGTGGCGTCTGGCATGAGTGGGAGGGGTCGGGGGTGGTTAGCTGGTTAGCAGGGCCACGGTCTGCTAGCGCAGGGGCCGCACACACAGATGCATACGGGGGCCAGGCAGGTCATTAAAGGGAGTCAGGCCGGTGGGCTCTGAAGCGAACCAGAGCGCCACTCCGGGCGCAGCGGCCACTTGCCTCCAGCAGGGCGGCTCTTCCAACTATTTTTCAAGAGAAGCCAGAAATGCAGATTTTTTTTTTACATAAAAGCTCCCAGGTTTTAAATGCTGGCGGCCAATTCAGATTAAAACCCTTTTTGTGGTCAGAACAAAACCCTCTAGTAGGCCTCCCATTTGCGGCCTCTGCTTTAGCCTCGTGAGAAGCAGCTGGTGGCCGATGCACCAAGAAGCCAGGCACTTGTTTTCAGAGCTCCCGGAAGTCCCCTGGCAGGGGTGCGGGGTGTGGGGTGTGGGGTGTGGGGGTGGTGGGGCCTTCACAGGACACATGGGTGCCAAATGGGGCTGAAGCACAGGGACCGAGTGAGGAGGGGTGAACACACGGAGGTTTGGGGTTAGTCCTGCAGCGCAGTCCTGGGAGGGCAGCTTCTAGAATTTCCCCGTGGCTCCGGGCCCCACGCCATCCCACCCTCCCCTGCGTGGACAGGGCTGCCCGGGGTCCCCTCTGCAGATGGTCTCCCACACGGCCCGTGACGGCTGCTGTGGGTCCCACCAGCCCATGCAGGCTCCAGCCCGAGAGGCAGCACCCCGCTGGCTTCAGGGGCACAGGTGTGCGTTACCTCACTGCACCCTGGGGCCTGGGGCTCCGCTCTGCGCTGCTGCCGCCAGTCCGCCTGGGCAGCACTGGCCTCGGCCTCGGAGGAGGCGGTCTCTGACACCTGGCTCCAGGCCCTGGGCTCCGGAAGGGCCTCTGGGCCGCTGCACACAGGCTGGGGTTCCTGCTGGAGAGACCTCCAGCCCATGAGCTCCCGGCCCAAAGGTTCCAGGGCCCTGGCTCTGCCCCAGGCCCCACCCATGCCTCCTGCCTTCCTCAGGGGCCTCATCTCATTGAGGACCCCCCCTCGGAAGCCCTGAGCGGGTGGCTGGGGGGCTCCCCGTCGGTCCAGGTAAAGGGCCGCTAGCCCTCTCCCACTCCCTGGCAGGGTGCAGCTGGGCCACTAGGCCTAGCTCCCATAGGTGGCACCCCCACTTTGGAAGGACACGATGACTTTTCCTGTGAGTTCCCATGGCACCCCAGCTTGCACGCACACACACACACACACACACACACACTCACACACACACACACACACACACACACACACACACACACCCCAGGGAGCCAGACCCCAGGGGCTCAAGAGAAGCAAAGGAGAGGGAAAAGGAGGGGCAGGCAGTGGGACTTCCACTCCGGTGCAGGGAGCATCCGGAGGTACTGGAGGCTGTGAGCACTCCCTGCCCCGCTGCTGACACCGGCCCTGCCCTGGGCCTGACTGAATGGGCTGAAGCTGGCCTTGGACCACAGGGCGGCAGGGGCCCGTGGCACCAAGTCTGAAGCCTCAGATCACATTCCATGTGGGGGGGGGGGGGAGCAGCTGCTCTTCAGGCCAGACCCACCCGGGGAGGCCCAGAGGAAGCGGCCAGGATGGGCCCAACTACACAGAGAGAGCCCGTCCGCCTTGCTGGACCGAAAGACCCCACACAAGACGAAGCCCCGTGAGCCTGGCTCGGGCCACGGGAAAGCTGAGGGAGCGGTGGGGGGCCCTGTCTCTTTGGTCCAGACTCTGTCCTAAGTGTTAAAAATAACAGGTTGGGAGATAAGATAGTGCCGTCTCTGACACCTGCCATCTTCGGATGCTTATTTTTAAATCTCGGAATTAGCCCTGGGCCTGGGAGGAGGGGAAGGGGCAGTGGGAGGTCAGGAGATGCACTCTTTTCTCACCAAGGCATTGGCCTGGGGAGTCCCCGACGGGGACAGTGGTCAGAGTGGGGGCAGGGCCCGGGGTCCTGGCTCTGTCCCAGAGGCATGAGGAACTCCTAGCTGGTCTCTCTCTCGTGCCGTGCCTCAGTTTCCCTGCCCATACAAACAGCTGCCCATGACCAGCCAGGGGATAAACCATGGACAGCAACCCCTTCCAAGATCCCCTGCCGGGCTGGGCTGGGGAGAGGGCTGAGGGCTGGTCTCAGCTCCCCTCTACGGGGCATGCTGTTGGGGGACACCCTGTCTTCTACCACCGCCCAGCCCGGCTGGGGCAGGCTGGCAGGGGCAGCGGCAGCGGCTCTGAGGCTGGTTGCCTGGCAGCAGAGCCCTGGGCCCTATGTAAGCAGGTGCTGCCTCTGAGCCGGGGAGAGGTGGCCGGGTGGGGGCTCACCTGCTTGCTGGACTCCTCCTCGGTGCCCAGGCTATTCTCCTCGTCCTCCTCTTGGTCATCCGTGTCTGACTCAGCCACGGCAATGGGCACGCACACGGGCTCCGGATCCCCCGGGGGGCCCTGGCCTGGCCGCTGGCCTTCCTCGAACCGGGTCTCCTTGCGGGCCGGAGGCGCCTTCTCTGTCTCTGCGGGTGGCGGGGAGCTGGAGGTGGCAATGCAGCTGGGCAGCTGGCCGCGGGGGGCCAGGGCCGGCTTCGGGGGCCGCCGCTGCAGGAGCCCACAGCAGAAGTCCCAGGTGGTCCGCTTGAGGAAGCGCAGGCCGCGCTGGATCCGGGCCAGGGCCAGCTGCAGGTTGTTCATCTCCCCGTCCTCGTCCGGGGCCGTGAGGTTGTCTGCGCTGAAGGAGCTGAGCAGCAGAGCCAGGAAGAGGTTCAGGACCTGGGGAGACAGTGGGTCCGGCTCACCGAGGCAGGCGCCGGGCCAGGGTCCATGATGGGGAAACTGAGGCCCAGGGACCGTAAGGACCGGCCAAAGGCCACCAGCTCGAGGTGGGAACCTGGGTCCTGGGCCTGGTCCTAACCCCCATTCTCCTGAACATAGAGAGTGTGGCTATGAGAGGAAAGACACATTCTAACCCTCCCTCCCCAGGTCTCAGATATGTGGGGGTTGAGGCTGCACAGACCTAGGTCTCTTGTGTGTTGGCCCAGGTTCAAGGGGTCCATGTCAAAGCCTAGGCCTCCCTTGTCAGCAGCTCCTGGGAAGTGGGATCCAAACTGGGGCCACCGGGGACAAGACAGAACCCCACCCAGAGAGGTTGGGGCGTTCCTGGGGAGGGGCCTCTGCATCCGTTGGTGAAGGAGGGAGGGGTATAGTGGCGTGTCTCCAAGTCCGCCCCCCCCAGGCCACTCACCACTCAAACACCTGGGGCTCCTGCTGTGGAGCACCCTCTGCCTGTGTCCCCAGGTCTGACTACGCTTCCCAGGTGAGGCCCAGGGGGCACTGAGTAGAGAAGGGGACAATGGCAGGACAAGAGCCCAGCTAGCAGCCCTCAGGCGTCTGGGACCAACTGCCCGTCAGGCTCCTGAGACAGGGTTGTGTCCAGGTGGTGAGGGGTACTTGGATGGGTGCTGTGTGTGGGACCAGACAGTGGGATGGGGTGAAGGGACCTGGGGCTGGTGCCAGGGGCCAGCCCTGCCTCCAAGGCCCATTGTGCTGCGGGGAGTCAGGGCAGGGGCTGAGGTTTCAGAGTTGCTTGAAGGCACGCTACTTAAATTCTGTATTAGCAGGGTGGAGGGGGTCAGTGGGGAAAAAGGGGGACATCGGTTATACTTTTAACAATAAAGATAAAATTTAAAATGCAGGGATTAAGGACTTGACCCCGAAGGGAGGTTTGCATGGTCCTCTGTTTGCATGGTCTGGATTACTGTTTGGGGTTAAACCATCCTGCAAGCGAGACGTTTTCTTGCAAATGTGAGTTTTTAGCTTTTGCTACGAAAGAAAACTTTTGCTGGGTGACCAGGGGCTGGGCACAGGCCCATTTCTCAGTTTCCTGAAGGTTCACTGAAGTGGGTGGTGGGCTCCTTCCCTCATGTGGGCCAGTCCCGGCTCAGAGCATCACCAGGCCGACAGGCCAGCGACACACCTCCCCACGCTGGGCTTGGGGTCCCCCCAGAAGGGAGCTCCGTTGGATGGGGGCCCCTACAGCAGGGTGGTGTGTGAAGGTGGGTGCAGTTCTCACTCTGAGCCCCTGCTGTGGCTTCTCACAAGCCCCGCAGACACACCTGTCAGCAGCTGGGAATGAGACTCTGACGGAAGGTTGGAGCACCAGCCCTCAGAGACTGGCCTTTGTTAAAAAAAGAGCAACACACACTCACATGGACAGCACGGGAGGGTTAAGAAGGAGGACCGCGGGATCCTATGTCTACGGAGAAATGATCACTTTTGACACCTGCAGGCTTTCTTGTGTGGTCTTTGGGGGCGGGGCATGGGATGTGATTCAGAGCTGCTGTCCACGCAGACCTCTGGCCTGGCCTGCTCCGTTCCTGTTGCCCACCCTGGATCCTCTCACACTGCCCTCACTCACGCCCGGCCCACCGCCCCTGACCTCCAGGTGTCTGCGGCCCAGGCTGGGGGCAGGGCAGGCAGGGGGCGCCTGGGTAGCCTCGTTCGTCCACCCACACAGGACACTAGGGCCTCCCTTGTCGGCAGCTTCAGAAGTTTGTCTCCTTCCAGTGCTTTCCCTGTCAATCATGCTGCTGCTCCCCAGCCCCTGCCTGATCATCACTTCCCATTCTAATGGCAATTGCTTCCTCCCACGCCCTGCAGCAGCCCAATTCCGGGGGGGGGGGGGGGTGTGGTGGGGGGGGAGGACGCCCTGCGTGGGCTGTCAGCTTCTCTCCACAGCAGACTCTAATCTTCTCATCTCCAGACAGATCCGCTTGGCAATGGCAGGGCTGTGTGTTTGAGGGCAGCTCAGGCTGGCCCTTTTCTGAGAGCTCAGTACTGGCGCCGCCCTTGGAATACATGGGGTCCACCAGTTTGAGGAGATGGGAGGCGGGCTGTGAGGCCAGCCGAAGAGCTGGGTTCCGGCAGCTCTGTGCACCGGAGCCCTCTTCCTCTGGGCTCCTCCACCTGCGGGGCCTGCGGAAGGCTGACCCCATTGCAGCCTGGGCCTGCCTTGGCCTCGTGAAGGCACACGGGAGGAGAAAATAGACCAATTGGAGGAAGGGCACCAGAATCTGCAGCTCACAGCACTCCCGCCACCTAAAACCTCTCTATGAACTGATGCGAGCCTGGGCTGCCCATGCCCTCGGGAGCCAGGCCATGCAGGTGTGATGTCTGAGCATGTGTGGGCCACCTGTGTACCCAGGAAGGTGGCACCATGTCCACAGAGGACACTGAACGACTGGACCTGCCTCAGCCCTGACTCTTCCAAAGGCCCCTTCTTTGGCATTTAGATTTGATCTCTCTCAACTCCGGGACTCCTCACACTGTAAACACCCAAGGCAGGACGCACCTGCCCTTGACAGACAGGTGGTCACGGTAGCAAAGGTCTGGATCCCTCATAATAGACCAGCAGGAACTCCCACCCTAGCTACCCAGGGAGACATACAATGGCTCCCACGGGCCCACCTCACCTGGACCACCACCTGCTGGCACCTGTGTTTTGCTCACCCTGCCCCCTTCCTCTCTACATGTCTAGCAGGTCAGCTCTAAACACTCTTTCAGGAAGCCTTCCTTGATTTCCAGTTGGAAGGGATCAGTACCTAGAAGCTCCCACTTAATGGCTCTGATCGTTCTGACTAATTTGAAAGTTCTAATTTCATGCCTCTGAACTCCCCACCTCCCCACTCTCTCACGTTTATGAGTAATGTCAGGGCCACATTCACCTCTGTATATCCAATAGCCTCTGGCACAACATTCTGCATGCAACCGGGGTTCAGCAAATGTTTGTTAAGTTGAATTGAAAAACCATGCGATAAATCATTGCCAGTGAATGACTAATAAAATACTAGGTAGTAAGTAAATAAATTAATGAAGGTAAAATGAGAAAATAATAAATAAGCAGGCGAGTTAGTGGGTGAATTAAAGAATGAGTTAACAAATAAAGAGTGATATGAATGAATGGGTCAGTCAGTAAGTAAATAGGTAGATAGATTGATGGAGAGGTAGACAGATGGATGGGTGATTTATGAGTGGATGGCTGGCTGGATAGGTAGATGTATAGACGAGTAGAGAGATAGAAGAATAAATGGTAAGGGAATGGGTGAATTGATGAAAAGTCCTAAGTGGGTACATTGGTGGGTAGATGCATGAATGAATGAGAAGATAGATGGAAGGATGAGTAAATGAGTAGACGGATGAACGGATGTGTAAATAGGTGGATAGATGAGAGACTGGTGGGTGGATAGGTGGTTTGATAGACAGATGGCTGAGTGAATGAATGGATGGATGGAAGGAAGGGTAAGTGAGTGGATAGATGGGTAGCTGGTGGAGGAATGGATGAGTAGGTGATTGTGTGTATGCCAGGCCACTGGCCAACTTACCACAAGGTTGCCAATGACCATCACAAGCAAGAAGACCAGCAGGCACAGTGACTGCCCAGACACCTCCATGCAGTCCCACATGGTCTCGATCCACTCGCCACAGAGGATGCGGAAGATGATGAGAAAGGCATGGAAGAAGTCCATCATGTGCCAGCGGGGCAGCAGGCCTGGGTCGCTGATGCGGTGCCTCAGCTCTGAGTAGTTTTTGCCGAAGAGCTGCATGCCCACCACGGCGAAGATGAACACGATGATGGCCAGCACCAGCGTCAGGTTCCCCAGGGCCCCCACCGAGTTGCCGATGATCTTGATGAGTGTGTTCAGCGTGGGCCATGATTTGGCCAGCTTGAAGACCCGCAGCTGGGGAGGGAGGGGTCCTGTGATAGGCTCTGGTTCCCAGTGCCCACGGACACCCTGATCTCCCTCCCACACTTCCTGCCTGAAAACCCGGGGAGCCCTTGAAAGTCACTGACACCTGTTCCTCCGGGTTTCTCCAAGAGCACACACCACTGTCTCTCCCCACAGCCTGAAGGTAGCTTCAGCGGACTCTGCTCTGGGAGTCAGGTCAACAGCTCCAGCCTCATTTCCCCCATTCAGCCCTTCTCTTTGTCCTCACACCAGCCTCCTATTACCCTTGGTCTCACTTCAAGGAACTGCCTAGATTCCCCCAATAGGGGATGTCCTTTTTCTGCCAGGCCCTTCATCAGATACCCTTCCAGGCCAGCTCAGCCATCTCTAACTTACCCAATCACCTCCATTTCTCTCTCCTCTTAGTTATAACAGAGAAAGGGAGCCAGTGCTTAGCATGTATTAAAAACCTACTGTGTCAGACCATGTGCTTAGGATGCATCAACTCATACAGAACTCCCAATAATACATGGGGTTGGCACTCTTACTACCTCCTTTGGCAGATGAAGACGGCAACCCTTACAAGTGGAGTAACTTGTCTAAGTTCCTTGGCTCATGGCAGTGGAGTTGGGATTAGAACTCACCATCTAGGCTATCTCAGCTGCTCCCACCAGGCTGCCTTCCTGAGCACCAACAGTGCTCAGACGTCTGCTGGGAAGCCTTCCCTGACCTCCTGCCAGCCCTATGTCTGGGGGCTTTGGGAAATTGTTTCTGACTTCTTTCTGAATCACTGACTTGCCTCAACCATGACTCTTCCAAAGAACCCTTCTTTGGCATGTAGATTTTGAGCTCTCTCAACTCTGGGATTCCCCACATTGTACAGACACAGGGCAAGATGCACTTGCCCTTGACAGACAGGTGACCATGAAAGCAAAGGCCCAGATCCCTCATGACAGGGCAGCGGGAACTCCCACCACCACCACCCAGGGTGACAACCTCTCTGGGTCTCAGTCTCCTCATCTGTGCAATGGGGATATAGTAATATCAGCCCCACTCCTGGGATCCTGTGAGGACTAAAGGGTGAATCACAAAGGGCTTTGCAAATCATCCGATGGCCACCCCAACTGCTCCTCTGGAGGGATATCTCTTTCTGTCTTGCCCTCCCCCCCTAATCTGGGCCTGGCACCCAGGGGCACTTAGCCAATAGCTGTTGGGTGAAGGCATGATGGCTCAGAGTTGGGGTGAGTGAGTGGTGCCCCAGGCACCCGCCCCGCCCCCCTGCAGAGGGCCCAGCAGGTACCAGGCGGAAGGAGCGCAGCACCGACAGGTTGCCCATGCGGGACAGGCCCAGCTCCATGAGGCTGAGGATGACGATGATGCTGTCAAAGATGTTCCAGCCCTGCTGGAAGTAGTAGTAGGGGTCGAGAGCGATGATCTTGAAGGTCATCTCTGCGGTGAAGATCCCGGTGAAGACCTGGGAGGGCGTGGAAAACAGGGGTTCCCCACGATTGGGCTGGAAAGAGCCTCTGGCCATCAGGGGCGCTTGTTCCCACAGGATCTCCCTTCTGGGCTGCCAGCTCTGACTGCACCCAGGCTCCCAGTGGGGGCCTGCCTGGCCATGGCCTCGCCCCTTAGGGATACCTCTGCCCCGATGCCTCCAGTCCGCTCTGTTGCTCACCGAGCATGAGCTGTCAGCCTGCCCCTCAGAAACAGCCGGGCCCATCGAGGGCTCTGCAGAAATTCCGTTCAGGAAGCACCTGAGGGCCGGGGACCCAGCCCTAGACTCCTTCCAGCCCGTGTTGCCACAGGACACACCCTCACTTCACACGTGCCAGATACATGCATTCATTCCGACAACTACTCATGGCTCTCATGGCTCAAGACCTTTGTCACGCTGTGCCCGCCCCCTCCTTGTCCACTTGCTGAACTTTTCTCACTGGAATAATAACCAGCCACTATTTCTTAATTGCCCTAAGAGCTGGGCTGGAATGCTTTGCAAATGTTGGTTTTGTTTTTTTTTCATCAACAAGCCGACAAAGAAATGATCATTATCCCTGTTTTACAGGGAAGGAAACTGAGGCACTGAGAGGTCAAGTAGCTTCTCCCGGGTCATGTAGCTAGTATGTTTGGGAACCAGAGATGACCTCAGTGCTGTCCTTCAAGATGTAGAGTGACCGCCTCTCCCTCTGGAAACGTTCCTGAGGTGGGCAGAGGCGGGGCCTCGCCTGGTTCATGGACTCATGAGTCCTGAGAAGCCCGGCCTCAGCTGGCAGAGACCCGTGGTCAAGGAGCCCATCCAGCGGTGGGCCAGGCAGCCGGGAACATGGCCACCTGCCCCGAGGTGTGCCAACTGCTACCACGGGGACATGGTCCCGAGAGGAGGGGCTGGAGGGAAGGCGGGCCTGCCCACAGGCCTTCCTGGCCACTTGGAGGAGCTGGGGGTTATCCTGAGGGCAGTGGGGAGGCACTGAGGACTTGTGCATTTATATGAAAACATGCAAGCTTTTTATCGTTTTAATGTATATGATAACAATAGAGTATCTTTGCATTTTTTTAAGCAGAATTTATTTTGAATTTATATGTGTTCTTTTTCGCAAGTTCTTTTTATCCCAAACATCATGTTTATGAAGTTTATCCATAAGGATACATGTATATGTATTCATTCTAAGTGTATTTGTACGAATACACCACAATTGACTTATCTATTTTTTAATGGATGGAGGTACATTTATGTTGATTCCAATTTTCCCTACACCTAACAATGCTGCAAAGAACTTTCTTGTACGTGTCTCTTTCTACGGACATGTGAGATCTAGAGACTATATATACATATATATACTACATATATATATGTATATATATATATGAAATTGTTAAGTTGTAGTGTATGCACATCTGTGCTTTACCTGATTGTACAATTGCTCCCTGTGATGGTTGTACCAAATCCAGACTCTTACAAAGTGTGACTTCTCAGTGTTTCACATCCTTGTCAACATGTGCAAGTTTATTTTAGAATCTCTTAGGGGTGAGAAATAGTATCTCAATGTTGCTCTAATTTGCATTCCTCTGTGTTTCTTTAAAAAAAATCTTTATTGCTGAAAGTAGTACATATGTCCCTTTCCCTGCCTCCCTGCCCCACCCCCCATCCTAGCCCGCCTCCCTCCGTCTGTGTTTCTTTTCGTTTGTTTATACCCATCTGCGTGTCCCCTTTGGGATTTGCCTGTCACTTCCTCTGTCCACTGTGCTGTCTTTTTGCCCCTGGGTTGTCCCTCTTTTCCTTACTGATGCGTAAGCGTTCAATATCGATTCTGGATTTCCCGTCTTTCTAGTTGAATACTTTTCACAGTATCAATTTCTAGTTTATGGCAGTGACTTCACTTTGTTTTATCATATCCTTTATTTGATGGGTATTTTACATTTTAATATAAGTAAACTTATCAATCTTTTCTTTCATGGTATAAACTCTTCATGTTGCTGAAGACAGCCTTCAAACCCCCAAGATTTTTTTCTCACTTTTATTCTGAAAATTTAAAAATGTTGCTTTATCCTATTTAGGTGTTGGATCCAATTCCCCACCACTAATTAATGAGTACGGTGTGGGTAGGGATCTAAATGTACTTTCTTCTCTATAGATAACCATTCTGCCCAGCATTATTTATTATTAAATAGTCTATCATTTTCCTACCGAATTATAATGCCATTTTTATTATTGATCAAGTCACCAAATACACATTTTCTATTTCTGAGTTCTCAATTCTGTAGCAGTGATCCAATTTTCTATCTTTGCAACAATACTATAACTTTATAATATATCTTAATACACGTAGGGTAAATTCCCCACCTGATTCCTAATTTATCTTGATAGACTTTACTTTTCCATATGAATTTTAGTATTACCATTTCAATTCCCATAAAAAACTGTGTTGGAATTCTTATTGGAATTACATTAAATATCTAGGCTAATTTGGGAAGAACTGCTATCTCTACAACATTGAGACGTTCATTCACAAAAATGGTCTGTCTCTCCACCCATCTGAGTCTTCTTTTGTGCTTTTTAAGAGTTTAAATTTTTTTCATATAAAAATTATGATCTTTTGCTACATTTCTTCCTAGATTCCTCCTAGTTTCTATTGCTATTTATTTTTAAGAGTGTCAACTTTTAAACATGACTCTCTCCAAATGATGCTGGTGGCTAGGAGCAGAATTAATGTGGGTACATTGAGCCTGTGCCTAGTAACATTGGTCAACTCTCTTACTAGTCCTGATAGTCTTTGTGTAGATTTTCTGGAATTATTTATATAGATAACAATATCATCCGAAAAGTAATGTTCGATCTGTTCTCTTCTTTCTTCTTTTCCTTTTGTTACCATGGTGATAAGGACCTCCAGTATAATTTGGACTGGAAGCAGGGAGGTAGGCACAAAGCTAGAGCTATAGCCTGGCAGTGGAGTGCCCCAGGTGTAAACAAGGGCTCTAGATACAAACTGCTCGGTTGCGAGTCCTGACTCTACCACTTCCTGGCTGTGTGACCTCGGTTAAGTTATTTGTGCCTCTGTTCCCTTATCAGTAAAATAGAAATAATAATAATAATAGCATCTCCCTTACTGGTTATTATCAGAAATTAGATGTTCAACAAGTATTAGCTACGACTACCACCAGCTTCACATCTATGTTCGTTCCTGACTTTTAATGGGAAGACTGCTAACGTTTCATGGTCAAGAATGATACTATAGATCATTTGGGTCAGATTATTTCTAGTTTGCTAAGAGTTCTTACCACAAAGAGTTTGGTTTTATTAGATGATTTTTCCACACTGAAGGGAAGATCATATGTACCTGGAATAAACACAACTTGATCACGAGGAGTTTATACTTTACTTATTTGATTTTTCTTAATCATACACTGCTGGATTTGTTTTGGCTTTTTTTTCTCTCTTTTCTTTATGGTCTTAAATCTCTTCTTGGTAACTTGCATTTTTCTTAGAAAAATTTTCACGTAGTCTGTTCAAAATTTACTAGCATTAAGTTGTTTATAATGTTTTATATTATGTTTTAATCTCTACTGTTTGTGTAGTTATGCCTCTTTTCCATTTAATTTATTTGTACCTTCAATTTTTAAATTTTAATCCTGCTAAGAAATTTGTCTATTAGTCGTTTCAGAATATGTTTGTTTTAAAAAAAAAACTTCTCCATAGTATGGAACAGAGTGCGGAATCTCAGAGGGAAGGTGGGGGTGGGTGGGTGGGAGGTAATCAACCAAGGACCTTGTATGCATCTATGCATGGCCCATGGGCACAGATAATGGGGTGGTGAGGGCCTGGGATGGGGGTGGGGGGTGGGGGGGTTGAGGGGTCAATGGGGAAAGAAAGGGGACATATGTAATACTTTGAATAAAGAATTATTAAAAAAATAAAACATTTCATTTGATAAAAGAAAATTTAAAAAAACTTCTCCATAATTACATTTTTAAAATTATGTATTAATTTTCTGCTTTTATCTTTACTTTTCTTTAATATTTACTAACTACTTGAATCAAATGACTGGCTCATTAATTTCCAACTTTTCTTTTTTAATGTATATAGGGAAGGGCAAGGGTGGGTTTACAGTTGTGAGTACACGAAACACAGAGTTTATTCTGGTATTATTATTATTTATTAATTTTGCATTATTTTCCAAATGAATAACGGCAAACCTACTTTTGTTCTTCTTTAGGCTATAAATTTCCCTCTAAGTACTGCATTCGCTGGCTGAGACTGATAAGCTTCCTTCTTTATCATTTCCCAGTGTCTGTGTGTGGTTTTTCTGGTTCACCGTTTTACTGAAGGTAGGATCATATACCTATGGGCTACTTAGTTCCAGCCCCTATTCACACTGTCCCAAAGACACGTCTTGTCTCTACATGGTCACTGAAATCCAAACCCCCAGATTACTCACAGCATCGACTCCCCACCCCCATCCAGAGCAACGACAGAACCATGTCATGTTTACTGCTATGGTTTTTAAGTCCCTCTTTGCTTTTGGCACGCGGGCATTTTTGTTACGTTCTCATGAACTTTGCTATGCACGTCAAAGAATGTTGGCTATGTCTTTAATTGTTTCGCAGTCAGAGACTTCTCAGGCTTGCCTACAGCATGGCCTTTTACGTTTGATTATATGATGGGCTAAAAGTTATTCAACTCTAGAAATCTCCTCCTTCCTGGAATTTGTCTTTAGTGGCACGCTTTGAAAGGCTTTTCCCCTACCAAGATTATTCACCCATGTTTATTTTTGTAGTTTTGTTTCTTTCCATTGACTATTTAAACCATCTAAAATATATTAACTGCAAAACAATAAAAACCTTACATGCTAGCAATAAAGCCCTCCAAACAGAACCAAACAGAGCTATAATCCAACTACATGACCTACTAATAATAATCGAACCACAGGTTAAACACAGCTGCGATTCAATCACTACTTAATGATCCGGCGAAGCCCACAGAGCTCCCCATCACCTTGACCTGGAGCTCGGTCCAAACCAAGGGTCACATTCCACTAAAACCACATTCAACGGAAACCCGACGTAACCGCCATCTGAAGACCAACGCAAGGGAGGCACAGCTGGGTGATGAGGCACCTGCAGACTGGGACACAGCTTTCCCTCCTGTTTGCATATAAAACTAGAATTATAGCAAATGCACACAATTGTGAAAACATCTGACTAGATCCTGCAGAGAACTGTCCAGAGTCCTGGATATGGAAAGTAATAAGAGAAGACAATCTTCATACCCCAAAGTGTGGGAGGACTGCCTGCCTGGTTGGGGGTGGGCCCCTGTGCAGCTGGACAAGACAGGGCTGGGTCTGCAGGAAGAGAGGGGTTAGAGCAAATGACTCCCTTCCTCTCCCCAAACTCGGTGATGATCCTGGGAGCTCCTTCTGGAAACCAGTGGGGTCTCTGCCAGCCTTTCCCGGGGCTCCCCTGGGGGAAGGGCTTTCTGTGTTTATCTGGACACAGCCAATCGGGCTCTGTCGCTCAGAGTCAGGAGACAGAAGCTACATGCCCAGCTCTGTCACCACTGTGTCCCCTCTCAGGCCTCAGTTTCCCCTTTTTCTAGTGGAGAGGTAGGGCTTGGTTTCATCTCAGGAGAAAGAAATCAGAATTGGAACCCAGACATCCTGACTTCCAGGGACAGTCTCTTTAATAATAACAACAACACTAATAACCACAGCTATCATTTATCCTTAGTGCTTATTGTTTATCAAACTCTGAGCCAAGGACATTACACGTATTATCTTATTCAGTCCTCATTAGCTTCCCATGAAGCTGGCATTGTCATACTAATTTTACATTTATTAAATTCAAGAAATATGTTTTGTGCAATTACTGAGCCGCAGTGATTTGCTTGAGGTCACATATAGTTCGTAAGAGCTGAGTCAGAATTCAAATCTGGCTCTGCTTCATTTACTCGCTGCACCCAGCTGTCCATCCATCCATCCATCCATCCATCTCTCTATCCCTCTCTCCCTCCAACAATCCATCCATCCATCCATCCATCCATCCATCCACCCATCCATCTACCCATCCATCCATCTATCCATCCTCTTCTCCATCCAACAAACATCGATGTCCACCTACAGAAACTCTGGCTATAAGAGAAATGCCTCTTTTTGCATTTCCCCTCCTCCATCTACTATTGCCAAATCTCACGTCCCCACCCATTTCAGGCTCACCCCCACCTCCCTTTTGCTTTGTCACCTCTGAGCATCTTCATTCACCTTTCTCCCCAACCTTTCCCTCTCAACTACATCTCTCAGTTCCTTCAATGCTGATGCTGAAACTCCCTACTTCACGATGCCTTCCACGATGACCCCACCATCGGAAAATCCTTCTGCCCTCTGGATCCCTGCGCCCAGGGCCAGGCAGGCTGGGACAGCTGCCCGAGAGCCGTTCGCACCCGGATGCCGCCTCTGGAGTCAGCTCCCAGCGGCCCTTACCAGGTTTCCGACCTGCAGCATCTCCTCGAATTCCGTCGTCATGTTGTAGTGCTCCAGGGCCATGAAGAGCGTGTTCAGCACGATGCACATGGTGATGGTGAGGTCGGCGAAGGGGTCCATGACCATGAACTTCACTTTCTGCTTGATGGACATCCACAGGGGGCAGCAATCCCAGATCAGGTAGCGCTCGGCGAAGTGGTTCCAGCACGGCGGGCACTTGCGGTGAGACTCCTCCAGCTCTGGGGGGACACCAGGGAGCTGGTATGCTTTCGTTGACTGATTCATACGTAACTCAGGGTGCTCCGGAAAGGTGGGTGGCTTAGCCGGGGAGGGGACAGGGCTGATGCATGGCAGGGGGTCCGCGAAAGGGGCAGGGAAGACAAAGGGTAGGGGAGGGGGGCTGTGTCTTGACTCCTTACCCTGGAAATATGGGAGAAGAGGACCACAGGGCAGGGGGCAGGGATGGATGTGGGGAAAACTGGGACAGGACAGATCAGGACAGACTGAAAAGGAGGCAGCATCCGAGACAGGCGAGTTCAGATATTAAGGACACTCAGGAGTGACTAGCTGTGGACGTGTTAGGACAGGGGGTGTGGTGGTGCCTGGGACAGGCCGGAGAAACTGTGAACACACATGGGGCAGGAGGGAACAAGATGGGGGTTGCCGAGGGTGGGACTGGCTGGGATGAGGCCAGAGCAGGCATGCTTGGGGGAGGATGGCTCCCGGCAGACAGGGAGGGGCTCAGGGAAGGACCAGATGAGACTGATCGGCACCTGGGACAGGCCAGGACACTTGTGGGAAAGCTTGAAAGCAACAGACACGGCTCCTGACAGTGCCCAGGAAAGGACAAGCGGAAACGAATGAAACACCGGGGGCAGGGGACACAGACGGAGAAGTCTGGAACCGCTGGGGGATGGTCCAAGGCAGGCGAGCAGCTGGGGGAGGCCTGGCTCAGGTCCGGGTAAGGACAGGGTGCCCAGACTGGAAGTGGGAGTGTTTGGATGACACCAGGGCCGGGGGGCGGGGGGGTGCTGACCTTCCAGAGCGCTGGTGAGGACGCTGACTGCGCTGAGGGCCCGCTGCCGCTCTCCGGGCCCCTCGAAGCCATCCATGCACGGAGCCGGGGGGGTCAGCATCTGGGGTTTGCCTGGCTCCTCCGACGGAGTGGTCTGCGTACCATCGGGAGATAGGCGTCAGCCTGGGGACCGGTGTCTGCTGGGCCTGGGGCAGCTGCTGGGCCTGGGGCAGCTGGTTCAGACTCAGGTTGGGAAGGTCACAGGGAGACAGGATGGGGGTCTTGATGGGACAGCGGGTGTTGGGCTTCTCTGCTCCCACCTCCCTCCCAGTTAACATCCCCCCCACCCCACCCCTCTCAACAATTATTATCTCCTTCATTCTCTATTCTTCACCATCTCTAGGCAGTGGTGGTTCTTGACTGTGGACAGGAACTACATAACCCAGTTCTATTAACCAGATGCTGTCGTACATGTTAGTCCATGCAAGGATGATCCGGGAGTCTTAACTGACCACAAGCTCCCTAGAGTCAAGAACATAACGGAAGCTGAAAAAAAAAATCTGCCACGCTCCCTGGCGACAGTCATAGCAGCATAAAGCACAAGGCTTCCGCGTGGCTGGTGGGGACTTCTGCGGAGACACTTTGGCTCTATCCACCAAGAGAATTGTAAACTGGCTCTGCAGTTACTCATCTGGTCATCTAACCTCATAAATAATTATGCACACGCGCCAAAAACATACATGTGATGGTGTCCATTGCAGCACTGCCCCCGGTACCACAGGAACAAAACAACGAATCAGGAGGAAGAATTTGAAAATCAATTGTGGGGACGCTCTGACTCTGATACAGACAATGAAGACAGCGAGGCAGCTCCATGTGTGTGCCCTGGGCTGCACCCTGGGGCCTGTTTTCAATGTGCTCGCTTCATTGCTGCAGGGGAAGGAACCAGGCCTGCAGCTGGAGACGTGTCCTGACAAAGGCGGAGGCAGCAGCCGTCTCTAGGCTCACTCAGCACCCCCCTGCCCCCGAAAGAACCACGGGCAGCCCACGAAGGCTGCCCATCAGCGCAGCCCTGCACCGCCACAGTCTGTGAGCCGGCGCCGGGGGTTGCTGAAGGCACCTGGCTGCTCAGTGTGCAAGACCAAGGTTCTATGACCTTTATAGGTCGCAGGGAGGATGGGCCTAGGCTGCCTAGGGTGGCAGAGCCAGGGCCTGGGGCGGGAGCTAATTTTATCCGGTCGACCTTTGTAATTGGGGGGGACTGCCCTGAAAGGTTGCCCAGGGAGGTAGTGAGCTCCCCGTCATTGGAAGTATGCGAGCAGAGGCACCTGCCAGGGCTGAGGTGGCTGGTGTAATAACAGTACCTAGGTACTCCTGGCCAGCTGAACTCACCAGTTTGTCTTAAATTCTCCCAACCTCTCGCCTCCTCCTCTACTGTTGGTGAGAGTTCGAGTTATCATTTAGCAAGTATTTACTCTTTCCCCTTCCAGGGTGGACCAACAAACTTCCTGTCCTCTTGGTGACACACTCACTTGGGCCAATGCAATGTCAGTGGACATGGTGCGAACAGAAGCCTGAAACAAGCTGTGCCATTGGCCTTGCTCTTGTGCTCCAGTCATCCTCCCAGAAAAGAGCTTCCCTCGGTAGCTGCCACTCCTGCAGCCTGGGCCTCACTCAGCACATAGACAGGAGCAGCCCCGCATCTGACCCAGTGTGGAGCCAAGCCAACGTGAAGTCCGAAGCAGAGCTGCCCAGCCAAGCCCACCCCAGACCAGCCGAACCACTGTCAACCTGCAGAGGACTGAGTGTGAGAATAAAAGCTTGTCATCCATTGACTTCAGGGGTAGTTTGTTACACACCATTACGTGTGGCAATAGCTGACTGATACACCATTCTAGTGCAAGTTATCATCACCCCTTTCCTAAAACTACCACAATAGCCTCCTAACTGGCCTTTTCTTCTCTTCCCTATATCCACTACACAGCTGAAAGGGAGTCCCTTAAAAATCAGATCATGCTATGCCTCTGATCAACAGCTCCCCCCAGCCCACTGCTCCCCATCTTATTCAGGATAAATTCACACTTTCCTATGACCTACAAGGCTCTGCATAGTCCAAATCCTAACTCATCAAACTCATTCCAGATCCCTTCCCGCAGGTTCCACCACACCTGGTCTTGCCCGGCTCTCTCAGGTCATGCCCATTTCTCTTCAGAGCCTTTCAAATTGCTGTTCCCTCTGCCTAAAGCACTACGCTCCCATGTCTTTGTGGCTGGCTCCCTAAATCATCTGCCTGTCAATTTTAATGTCAGCTCCGCTGGAAGGCCTTCCCCGATTATTCTAATAGCTCCCATCCCCATCCCTCCCCCTGGCAACTTCCTATAACATGACCCTTCTTGCTACCTGGAAATGCTGACCCGTTCACTATCTGTCTTCCTGACTACAAGGCAAACTCCACCAGGGCAGGGCTCTTGTCTGTTCTGTTCATTGCAATAACCCTGGAGTCTCAAACACTGAGTGGCACCCAAGGCAGCCAGCTGGCCCTGGATACACACGGGTGGATGGATAGATCCTTGGGAATGGGGAGGCTGGGGTTAAGCTCTAGCTCTGCCCCTCACTTGCTAGATGGTGGGGGGAGGGGGATGAAATCTAGGGAGTGGCTGTTCACTGTGCCCCACCTGACCCTCTGGGACAGGCACTCCCAGGCAGACAGGGAACAGGGAACAGGACCATTTCCCGGTCCTGTTCAAGCTTCCTCAGAGAGCCTGCCCTCTTCCATGTCCCTGTAGGCATTGGGGTCTGAGCCACATGTTTGCCCTTTGCCTGGGCGGGCTGTTCTGGGCACTGTGTTGGGGGTCAGGGGTCAGCAAGGGGTCAGCAATCTGGATAAATGAAACATGGGCTGTCTGTTGGGGTGGCCCTTCCTCCTGCCCTCCCCTGTCGACTCGGCGCCCACTACGTGCCTGACACTGTGCTTTGTTTTCCGATGAGAAATGGGTAGACGGGTCTCATCGGGAACCAGAAGCCAGGAAGGCATTCCCGGGGCCTGCAGCCCGCTAATCTCTTTACCTTTTCAGAGTCTCCATCTCGGCCCACTAATTCCTTTAACTTCGCAAATGACCCCCGTTGGCCAAGCTAATCCCTTTAAGGTTACAAATGGGCCCCACCGAAGTGAGAATGCTGAAGTCAGAATTCCCGGTAATGAAGTGTTTGAACTCGGACTCCTCCCGACATGTGCCCTACGAGACGGTTCTCTCCCTAACGAGATTAGGAGGTTCTATTAGCTTCCAGGCTGCTGACCCGATTCCACGGGGCTGAGGCTCCAGGGCTGGGCATGAAGGGGGGTCTGCAGCCACTGGGATGTGGTGCTCCTGGGAAGTCAGGTACCCCACCCTACAGGGGATGGCCTGGGGCCTCCCAGACTCACCCGGAAGCTGCGGTCTGCTCCTCGCCACCCCCCTTTGGTTTCCCCAGAGGAGTGTGAGGGCCCCAGGCGTTCTGCATTGTGCCCCAGGAGTCTTGATTCCTTCCTGCTCAATAATTACAATCACAGATAATAATAATAATAATAATAATAATAATAATAATAATAATGACTGGAACATGAGGCAAGGACTGGGCTGAGCATCGGGCAGGTGTTAACTCAGTCCTCGCCACAACCTGCTGGCGTGGACATTCCCTTTACTGTCCCCTTACAGATGAGGGAGTGGGGACACAGAGAGCTGTGTGAATCTGTGCAGAGTCGCCCAGCTAGAGCAAGCGTCTGAGCAAAACAGGCCATTTGGCTGTGAGCTGTTCCTCTTCAGCCTCCCCTGCCCCTTCCTGACCATTTCCCTGTCCTGTTCCAGCTTCCTCAGAGAGCCTGCCCTCTTCCATCTCCCTGTAGGCATTGGGGTCTGAGCCACGTGTTTGCCCTTTGCCTGGGCGGGCTGTTCTGGGCACCGTGATGGGGGTCAGGGGTCAGCAAGGACGGATCAGGCGGCCATCAGTCTGTCACGGGACTGGCTGACTGAGAGATTACAACTCTAACTGGTCTCTCATGACCTAGCCTGCCCCTCCTCGTTACCTTTTTGACAATAACTCCAACTCCTTTCCCCTTTGTTCCCTGGGTTCCGGCCACACTGACCTCATGGCACGCCCTCCCCTCCGCTAGGCTAGTTTCTGCCTCAGGGCCTTTGCACTGCTGTCTTCTAGGCCTGGAACTTGCCTCCCCCAGACGAGGTAATGACAGTCCGTTATGATGATGTTATCACAACATCATATGCTCATCCTGTTATGCCCAGATTTCAAGATCCCCAAGAAACCACATCAGGGAGCCAGCCAATCCGATGCAAAAGCATAAGAATCTGTATTTCAAGCTAGCTTGAGCTCCCCGTCCACCAGACTCACCGACACAACGGCAAGCCAAGTGGCTGAGAGACAGAACCCCGCGTAGAGATGGGTTTTAAAGCGGGGGTTGGAGTAAGGGGAGGAGAAAGGACTGTGCTCTGCCGATTGGCCAGGCGCAAGTCGATGTCTTGTTCCTGGGTGTGGCTAGCAGAGTCTTAGACTTCCGGGAAGAAGCTCCTTGCCAAGCCCGTGGCCAAGGTAAGATGGAGGACGTAGCCCTTACCCTGGGGCAAGATGGAGGGCCTAGCCCTCGCCCTTTCAATCCTAATCGCCTTACCCATGTGAGGCCCTTCACTCTTGCAACAATCCTGCGATGGGCATTTTTAACCCATTTTACAGGCGAGAGACGCACAGTAACTTTCCCACGGCCGTGCAGCTAAGCCGGATTACAAACCAGTTCGTCTCCAGAACCTGGGGTGCGGTCCACTCCTCTATACCACCCCTGGGAGTTTCAGAGAGCAGCCTGGCTCCCACCTTTGCTTCCATTTGTCTAAATGCCTCCTAGTGAATGGGGTTCCTTCTCCCTCTTCTCTGTTCCCATCCTCCACACGACTTACTGGGCTAGTACTGAGTCACCGGTTTTAATGTACTGACACGTCTCAGACTTGGTGACTAACTGTTGGCCAAAACCTGGGAAGTGTCCCCTTGCCATTCTGGCCCTTCTCCCAGGAGGCTCCGGACTGCCAAGGACCCAGCAGGTCTACAGGGCACACACGGGTCCTCAGGACACTGGCTCCATGCCACCGTGGTATCTCAGTGCCCCAGCCTTACCAATTATTCAACACTTAGCTGTCATTTACCAATTATTCAATACTTAACTATCATCCCTGTTTATCAGCATAACGCACCCCCAGAACCCAGCACACACCAGGTGCTCAGTAAATACGGGGTGAGTGTATTTTGACCCGACCCTGGTGATGAGCTGGAGACCAGCTCTGCCCTGGCGCTGCATCGCGGGCTGGCTCACCGTGTCTGGGGGGCGCTCCAGCATCATGGGGCGGAGGAGGTGGCTCCCTGGGGAGGTGGCCTCAGGGTCGCCTGCCCCCAGCAAGGAGACCACCCCATTGCAATCGATGGTGCTGTTCCTTTTGCCATTGAGGGCGTGGCCGGGAGCTGAGGTCCCGGGACTGGGCTGTGCCTGGGCACTAGGCCGGCGCAGGGACCAGGGCACCAGCAGTGACGTGCGGTGGCTCTCGCTGTCCCCCGCCGTGCTGTTTTCATCATCGGCAAAATCTGTCTCCGACCCCGTATCTCGCCGGCGAAAGGTGAAAATGCTCCCTCGCCTGGAGTATGACTTCACGGAGGTCCTGTTGAGGCCCTGGGTGATGCCGAGGTGGTTCTGAGGGCACAGGCAGAGGGGACATCACCACGACAGCCCTTCCAGTGCTCCCAGCTCATCTCTGTGGCATCCGCCCAGCTCACCTTCTCAGAGGACTGCGGGCTTTAGCTGGCCACACAGTCTGGGTGAGCTGGGCCGAAGGGTGGGGTGTTCAGGGAAGGGGGGCGGGGCTAGAGCAATCTTGTCCTTTCGGGGACCTTTGCTCACCTGCAGCCTGTGCCTCTGGGGCTTTGAGATCGACGCTCACCTGGGCTAAGGCTGGGCAGGGGGAGAGGAGGCAGGAAGGCTCCTGCAGTGTAGACCAGCCTGGCCCGAGCAGCCATGCCCCTCACTCATATGGGCCTGTCCTTGGCGTCCTACCAATTGACCCTGTAGGGTGTCTACCAGTCCCAGATCAATGCTGGGGACCTGGCTGAAATGTGGGGTATCATAACACCCAGACCTACCCCGTCCCGCTGCCCAGGGCTCCTCGACCCCAAACATGGCCATGGGAAACAGGAAGGGCTGGGAGGGGCTGCGGGATGCCCTCCTTGGGGAGCAGCCATCTGTGACTGTACCAGGGGCCTGGCATGAAGGGCTTCTGATCTGCCCTAACGGGGGCAGGGCCACGACGGGGGGCTACCATTGCTCTGGGGCCATCCTCCGAGTCCGACTTGGGAAGCCTGTCATCCCCACACTCCTCCGTCCCCGAAGACAATCGTTTTCCCCTCTTGCTCCTTTTCTCGTGGGCGGTGACTGGGGGCAGAGGAGACATCTCCAAGGAGCTGCGGGACACGCTGTCCACACCCCTGATGGTGAGGGCCTGGAAAGGGCGGAAGAAGGGACGTCTTGGTCATCGGGACCACATGCAGCCGCAGGCTGAGACCCACCAGGTAACTCCCGGGGCCTTGGTGTTCCCCAGCAGTAAGGGGACTTGCACACTTACTCCCACATCAGGGCATCATGGAGAGATGAGCTCAGACAGACCCAGAATGTTCTATGAAAGAACCAAGTCCAGGGAGGAGGAGAGTCGTGGCTGACGTGGCAGCGTTTGGAAGAGGCGAGTGTGGGGGACAGATGGATGGGGTGTCAGTGAGCTGAAGTGAAAGAACTAGAGGTCAGAGGACCTTCTAGAAGGTTTGGCTAGCCAAAATGGGTGCTGGGGGTGGTGGCGTGGGGCAGTGAGAAGAAAGCAGATGTCTACAGCCTGGCTTCCAACAGGCTTGCTCTGTGGTTTTCTTTTTATTTATTGTTTTTCAGTCATCCTCACTGTAGAAAGAGTGGAAGGGAGGGGGAGAGAGAGAAACATCGATGGGAGAGAGACACATCGATTGGCTCCCTCCCGCATGGGCCCCCACCAGGCTGGGGATCAAGACTGCAACTGAGGTACATGACCTTGACTGAAATCGAACCTGGGACCTTCAGGCCAATGCTCTATTCACTGCGCCAAACCTCCTATGGCTCTGTGGTTATTTTCTAGGCTGGCTCAGGCCTCCAACCTTGGACCCTTCTCACTGCCCCACCAGAAGGCACCCAGTGACCTGGATAACTATCCATGGACACATGGATCTCTTTTGTCCAGCATGCACTATGCTCACAGGAACCACCTTTACCCAGCAGGCACCACACCTCCAGGCACCAGCACACCCAGCAGGCACCATGCTTACAGGCACCCACAGTCAGGGGAGGGCTTGGTCTGGAGGCCCCGTGGCTGCACTGCGCACCCACCTCCTGCTCTTTCTTGAGCATCTCCATGGCCTCCTGGAATCGTTTTTCCTTCTCCTCCGTCTCAGCGATGGTGGCTTGGTTTTGCTCCTCGTAGGCCATGGCGACCACAGCCAGGATCAGGTTCACCAGGTAGAAGGAGCCCAGGAAGATGACAAGCATGAAGAAGATCATGTAGATCTTCCCTGCGGACCTAAGGGTCTGGGGGAGCAGGGGGGCAGAGGTCATCCTCCCTGGGCCCCCTTCTGGGTCACGGTCATGGCATTTCAGAGTGGCCTAGTCTGGATGTGCCAGGCGTTCAAATGGCCACACCTGGGGAGGGGCCAGAGAGTGTCCCACCTACAGAGGGAAGTGTCCTACAGAGAATGACCGACGCACAGGGAGGGGTGTCCCACCCACACAGGGGGCAGCCTGTCACAGTCAGCAGGGGAAATGTACCTACAGAGGGGACTATTCCATCACATAGGGTGGAGGGGAGTCCCACTCACAGAGCAGAATGTCCAAGGGATGGGTACTTGGTCATCAGCAGAGAGAGAGTTTCTTTGTTTGCTGAGCCTCCATCCCTCAGATGCAAGGGTCCCCTGCCCCCTGACCCTCCTCAGTTGCTGGAGCCACTCTGGTAGGGACAGCCTGGGGCCCTGGTGCGGGGTCCTGAGCCCGTTCCTGGTGTCCCTCTGCTGGCCCGAGCACGCACGCACCTGCTGGTAGAGGCGCTCCCAGCAGTCCTGCGTCATCAGGCGGAAGAGCGCCAGGAAGGCCCAGGCGAAGGAGTCGAAGCTGGTGTAGCCGTGGTCGGGGTTCTCGCCTGCCTTCAGGCACCGGTAGCCCTCGGGACACGTCCTGCAGCCAGACACGCAGACTCTGTCTCATGCTGTGAGGGGTCCTCTGCCCCCGACACCCTGGCTGGGCCTGGCTCGTCTTCCTGGGCAGCCCAGCGTCTGCCCCCCTGCCCGGTGCTGCCCCCACGGCTTTCCATGCTGGGCCTCCTCCTGCCTGGGACCCTGTCTTCCCCTTTTCTCCATCCGTCTGTATTCTGCTGGGCTCAAACCCAGCCCCCTCCTGCCCCTAATTCACACCATCCCCGCTGCTGTCGGAGCCACCTCGCCCCTCGCAGAGGAAGTGCTAAGGGCCCGGCTCACGTCTCTTCCTCCGCCTGCCACCCCATGGGAGTGAGCACAGTGCCAACATGCAGGCCAGCAGTGAGGCTTGGCTGAGCTGAACAGGATGGAGCCCAGGGCAGAGGCTGGGCCACGGGGTTGGGGGATGCTTCTGGGCTGGGCGGGCTGGCCCTGGCCACGGGGTGCAACGAGGCAGACCCACAGTTCGCCGAGCTGGAGGGGCAGCCTCTCTCCCAGAGACGGAGCCCAGGGCTGGCTTCACGTGTGCTTGCCATGCAGGAGAGAGAAGGGGCGGGGGGGCTCAGCAAGCGGGAGGATCAGCCAAGGGCCTCTGTGCCTTGCTGATGTCCTCAGACCCCGAGACAATCTCTTAGTGACACAAAGGGCTCTGGCACTTCATACTAGAGATGGGGGACCACAGCCCCACAGACACCTTCCCCACCAGGCGAGCCCGTGTGTCCCCTCCCCTAACATCCTATAGCCCATCACTTACCCAGGCCCCGGTGTGCACACGACACTGGGCCTGTGGTACCACACGCAGGTACCACACTCAGGTCAAGGAGAGTCTAGGCTGCTGGGGGAGCCCAGACTCACTCCTGACCCGATGCACAGACCAGCAGGGAGGGAGTGGGAAGGAGCAGCCCTGGGGGGCTTCTGGGAGGAATGGAGCCAGGGTTGAGCTAGTCGGGGGCCCTGCAGGGCCTCCAGGCTACCCTCAGGCCCACCCCATCTTCAGGGCTCTGTTGGCCCTCCCTGCAGATCTGTACCCCCATCCCTTTCTTCACCCCCTTCGCAGCCATCTCTGCTGTAGGGGAGAGGGTTGGGGAAGCTGCCAGGGACCTGGCAGGGAGGGAGGCAGGGGGAGGCCTTGCTGACCCTGGGGTCACGGGCCAAACCTGAAAGCATATTGAGAAAGCACCAGGAGACTCCCCTGGCTGGGCAAGGTGGTCCTGGGGGGGGGGGTGGAGGGAGGGGGAGTGCCACATACCCGGCGTCAGAGCTGTTCCCACACAGTAACACGTCGCTGGTGCCGTTCTTGAGCATGTAATTTTCTGGAAGAGACATATCCAGTGGTGAGGGTCAAGGTGGCCCAGCCTCCTGAGCTCCAGCCTTGCACCCAGGACTTTGCAGAGGTAGAGACACAGGTGGTGGTCTTCCCACCTCTCCTTCTCCTCCTCCTCCTCCTCTTCCCACCTCTCCTTCTCCTCCTCCTCCTCCTCCTCCTCCTCCTCCTCTGACATTCAGCTGCCAGAGTCTCTGCTCTCTTGGGAGACTCAGAAGTCCCCACAGGGAGCATCTGCACTTTGCCTCATGTCACACAAGGGGCCACCGGGCCAAGAGAGGCCCTGCACTAGGAGGCAGGGGCCTGGGCGGAGTTCCAGCTGGGCTGCCGAGTCACGGCGTGGCCTCAGCAGGCGACTGCCCAGCTCTGTCTGGACCTACTTCCTTGTGCATGAAGTGATGGAAGTGACGCTGCCACAGTCACCGTGGCCAGAGTGTGGTCTCTTCAGACAGGGCTGGGGGGAGGGTGGGCAAGGCCAGGCCCTCTCCTCTCTGTGGCCATCGTCAGTCCCCAGCACTCACTGCTCCCTGCCTTAGTCTTAGGCAGCAGTTCTCTGGTCCTGGGACCAGCGGCGTCAACTGAGAACTGGAGAGAAATGTAACTTCCTGGGTGCCCTGCCCCCCCAAAACTACCGAAGCTCCGGGTGGGCCCCCCGGAGTCTGTTTTCCGAAGTCCTCCAGGTGACTGGCGCCCATGAAACCTTGGAACCGTGCTGTGCGGCCACAGCTGAGCCATATGCAAATTTCCCCACTGAGGTTCTGCCTGTGCTTTTCCCAGAGTGGTCGCCGGTGCATGCGAGGCCCTCACTCCACAGTGGCCCTCAGGGTCCTTGTGGGATACGGCCTAGGACAGTGTCTCCCTTGGCCCAGGCCCATGGCACTCGCCAAGGGATGTGCTGGCCACCAGCCCGGAGCATGGCAGTGTCACCCGTGGGGCAATGGCACCACAGGGGCTCACGTGACTGTGCAATCACTAAGCTTGCCCCCTCCCTTTCATGGGGTTCTGGGGAGCACGTGTGTGGCATTAACATCCTGGCAAGGAACCCCGAGGTCAACTGAAAAAAAATCTCGTGCCATGCAGGTGGGGCCTCCGCTCTGGAGCCTGGTAGGCTACCCCGGCTCCGTGTCCCACCCTTTCCCCAGCCAACACTCCCCTCCCTGCAGGCTGGACGGTCTCCTCACGGCTCCCGGCGATCTAGGGTCAGTCCCTCCTCAACATGTCACAGCTGCCGCTCGCATCTGGCCCTCCATCGAGCCCGAACCCCTTCTTTGCCAACCTTGAAGCATCGTCTCCCACCCAGCCTGAGAACTCGGAGGGCAGCCCTACATCTGCTCCCCTTCTTCCTCTCTCTGAGTCCAAAGGGTAGGGCTGGGGTCCCTGAGCTGGGGTCCCTCGGGGGGGTCAGGCAGGGTTTGGACGGCCCTGCAGGGAGGCCTGCCCAGTGGCAAGGCCGGTGTGGGCGGCGGCCCAGCCCTGGAGGCCTCAGAAAGCCTGGCCCGGGCCCCGGGGCGAACGCGTACCTGGATCGTTGAGGTAGAGGTCCAGCGAGTCCCAGACCTGGCCGCCGGCCTCCACGGAGCCATTGGTGTCGTTGAGCTCCGTGAAGTTGCGCACGCACTTGTGCCTCAGGTTGCCCATGAAGAGCTGCAGGCCGATGAGGGCGAAGACGCTGAGGCAGAAGACGGTGAGGACCATCACATCGGCCAGCTTCTTCACGGACTGGATCAGCGCCCCCACAATGGTCTTCAGGCCTTGGGGGAGGCGACAAGAAGCAATGGAGTCACCCCCGGGCACCGGGCCTCCCGCTCCCCTGGGCGGGGGCAGGCCCGAGGGGGTGCTGGGCCACGCGGGCCATCATGAGGTGGGGGCAGAGTGAAGGAGGCCTCTCCTTCGTTGAGATTCAGTCCCGATTCCCCTGGGGCAGGAGCCATCTGTGGGTGTATTTTCAGAGCGCCCAGTCCCCCTTGCTCTCCACTAGCCTCGTCCATGAATTGGGCGTGGAAAATGCCTTTTGCTTGAGGAAGCAAAGACTCAAAGCCTGCCCCTCTCTGGCTCTGTCCCAAGGTATGCTGGGCCTGCCCCTTTAAACATAGCCTTCAGACAGGCGATTGAGGTGAGGTCCATTCAAGGACAATGGAGGGGCTCAGCCTTGATCCTGTGATGGGGAGAGACACAGCCACTCTTGGTGGAGGATCTACTTCATGTGCTGGGGGGCTGGGCAGGCGGGAGGTCTGGCAAGGCCATGCTGGGTATGTCCTCAGGGGCCTGTTCTGGCTCGCTGTCCCCCTCTGGGAAAGGTGCAGGGGCAGGGGCGGGGTGGGCCTGTACTGCCTTTTCCTCCTCTGCCCTGTGCCTCTGGGACCCAACCCTGCGCATCCCCTTCCCCGAAGCGGAGAGGCCGTGACGGGTTAGTCGCACAGCCCAGCTCCCTACAGAAGCCAGCGCCACACAGTGAGGTGACAGAAAAGCGGGTGTAGACACGGTCGGTCTGACACTTGAGAAGTTCAAGTTCGAGCGCAGCATGGGGAGTGAGGGAGCTTCTTTGCCAGCAACAGGGCCCTGCCCCACGACCCCGTCCACCTTCCCCCCACCTCCCCACCCCACCCCACCCCCACAAGCGGCCAGATCTCAGATTAAGCTCCATCCATCCATTGTCCAGCCGGTTAATGTGTTAGGAGCACCCGTGGCGGCTGTGCCTGAGGCTGCTGTGTCCATGACCCGAGACAGGGAGGCGGCGATGGGCAGGCACGGGAGAGGAATTCTCAGCCATGGTGCCACCAAGGCTGCTGCCTGCCCAGGGCACAGAGGCACGCAGTGCTCTCTGTGGAAATCGTCCTGGCAGATGCTGGCAACCGCCTGGGCAGTGGGGGGCCCTCGCAGGGGTCTGGGCATGCGGTGGTGGTGGGATTCACGAGTCCTTTGGAGTCCAGAACCCCTTTTCTCTAGTGGAGGTTCTTGGAGCCCTCAGCGGGCACACTCTGGTTCTGCCCACTGGGCCCAGAGACCTTGCCCATAGCCTGGGGGCCTGCGGGGGGACTCGGTGAGGGGTGGTGGGCAGCAGCTTGCACACCCAAATTGGATGCTGTCTCAACTGCTAGGCTGAAGCCTCTTTGGCCTAAAAGCATCCAGTTCAAGGCCCAGCCGGGCACCTCGTGGTTTTTGGTCATTGGCTGGTGAGCACAGACTAACCCCTTTAATGTTTCTCATATCGATGACAGGGTTCACTTTTGGCAAGAATAATTCCAATGAAATTACAAGATGCTTTTTGAAAAGACCCAGGAAGGTCCGAGTCCTGGGGGACCAAATGAAAAATTCTCTGGCCACTAAAGGTCTAACAGGCTAGGCGAAGAGCCCTCGGAAACTGACCGTTCCTATTCCATCTCCATGTTATGGGAAAGGAGACCAAGGTCTGAAGAGGGCCAAGGCTATGTAAGACTCAGCTCAGGGGGCACCTCCTCCAGGGAGCCTTCCAGGATATGGCCACAGCATTTTCCTAGTGATCACTTTCAGGGTCTGCTCTCTGCTGCTTCCCTGGGTTGCCGGCACCTTGAAGGGATCCCAGGGGGCTGGGTTCGGGTTGACAGGCTTCTGCTTTCCCCCAGGACTGAGAAACAGTTTTCTTTGTCAGCCTTTCTTACAGAAGAGACTAGAACATAGCTGTCCTTCACGGCTATGGTCAGTGTGCTTAACCTCTCTTGTGAGGTGTGCTGTGTGTGAGGTTGTCCCTGGGACCCTAGAAGACAGACCCCAAGGCTTCTGAGCATGTATGTGCTTGTCAAGGCAAAGGACACCTGTCCCAACAGGGCAGCTCCATGGGAGTGGCTGGGAGCAGCGGCTCCCCTTGCTATGGGCTCTTAGCAGGAATCTGGGCTGCCTGTGAGGGGCAAGTGGCCCCTCTGCATATCCCTTGGAGGGTTCGGAGGCCAGGAGGAACCTTCTGAGGCTGGGTGTGAACACCGCATAAGGCGGGAGTGCTCCTCATAAGATTATTAACCCCACCAGGGGGAGTCTGAACACCTCCAGGGAGCTCAGAGCAGGGCGCCTGCCTCTGTGGGGGCAGTAACAGCCAAATGCAGGCCCAGGGGCCAGGACCCACCAGCTTGTCACATAGGAGCAGGTGCAACCACCCAGCTCACGGAATCCTCTCCTCAGCCCTGACCCTCCAGATCAGCGGCGTGCAAATCTCTAGATGCGCCTTCCCTGCTCCGGTCCGGGAGCAGCTGCATTCAGAACAAGCCCTAGAGAGCCGCTGGGCACGGCCCTCGGGGCTCTGAAATTGTTGTGTCTTTCGGGAGCTTCCCTGGATGGATGGGGCTGCTGGACTTTCTAGGGAAGCCGTCTGGCCTTGGGAGACTTCCTGCTCCGGTTGCCAACATCTGCCAAGGAGAATTTCTGCCGGAGGCTACCATGCGCGGTTTGCTAAACCTCTACCGCACCATGCAGCGAGGGCTGTTAGACGCCAAGGCCGACGCGCCTGTCCGCAGAGTACGCTCGCTCGGTTCACAAGGTGGGGCTGGGGCTGGGCTCTGCACAGATCCCCCGAGGGGGCGCGGGCAGGGGCTGGGCACCCGCCAGGAAAGGCGGGCGCCGAGTTTTCCTTTTTTGTTCCCCGTGTGGATGTGGTTTCCTCCCCGGAGGAGGATGCTTCAGGCAGAAGCAATTCACATACAAGCTTTCAGCTATTCAAACAGCTGTCAGTTTGGGAAAGAAATTCCTATCTGGCGGAGAATCTGGGTTCGTTCCAGGCCCTGCCAGGGGGTCTCTATGCCCCCCCGGTGTCTGTGCGAGTGGGTTTGGCTGGGGTGGGCGAAGCCCGTCCCGAAGCTTTGAGGAGACAGCCGTGCCCACTGCCGTCCGCTCCCACACCGAGCCCTGGGGCAGGTATTCTGCTGACAGGCACATGCGAGGGGCCTTCCCGAGGGTCCCCTCGACGCTCAGGCGGCCGGAAAGTCCCTCCAGCCTTGGCGTTTAACCTGATTTTCACCTGAAATGACCGATATAGTTTTCAGGGCCCGGAGGACTCGGAAGGTGCGTAAAGCTGAGACATTGCCCAGGTCCACAAATTCAGTTGTGTATCTGTAACAAGGGAAACGCACACACACGACACAGTCACGACACGCCAGGAGGAGACACACGGTGTGGGGGGGTGGGGGGGAGACAGAGAGAGAGTCACTTGTCGCCGAGATCTGCGAGGCGCGCCTGGCGTCTTACCTGGGATGACTGAAATAGTTTTTAGAGCTCTCAGGACTCTGAAAGTTCGAAGAGCCGACAAATTGCCTAGCTTTATATTTTCTGATACATACCTGCAGAATCAAACCACAGTTATTGGGATTTACAGCAGCACCTCAGCCTGCCCTCCCGGCCAGCCCTCCCCCACAGGGAGGAGTGTGGATGGGCGGGGGCCTCCCCTAAATTCTCTTCCTGAGCTGAACCCTCCTGCCACGGGGACCTCAGCGAGGGTGCCTTGGGGATGCCACACAGCCAGCCCCAGGCGGCTTTCGCGGTGATGGTCCCGTGAACACCCGGGGCCAGGAGGCAACGACTCGGCCACATTCTCCGTGACACTGGGGACCGTCACGCAACACGTGGCAGGCAGGGTCTGAGGATGGAGACAGGCGGGGTGGAGAGGGACACTCTCCCAGGAGCCTGGGTTCGCTCTGCATCTTCTGCGGCCTGGATCGCCCGCTTGTGCCTGCCTGGCTGCTCCAAACCAGAGGACCCTGAAGACCCGGCTGAGACCACCCCGGAAGTGTGGCTGGGT